GATTATTTCAGCCCCACACCTAGATTATTTCAGCTCCACACCTAGATTATTTCAGCTCCACACCTAGATTATTTCAGCACCACCTTTAGATTATTTCAGCCCCAAACCTGGATTATTTCAGCTCCACACCTGGATTATTTCAGCCCCACACCTGGATTATTTCAGCCCCACACCTGAAAATTTTCAGCCCCACCCCTAGATTATTTCAGCCCCACACCTAGATTATTTCAGCTCCACACCTGAATTATTTCAGCTCCACACCTAGATTATTTCAGCTCCACACCTGGATTATTTCAGCTCCACACCTGCATTATTTCAGCACCACCTTTAGATTATTTCAGCCCCAACCCTGGATTATTTCAGCCCCACACCTAGATTATTTCAGCCCCAAACCTGGATTATTTCAGCCCCAACCCTGGATTATTTCATCCCCACACCTGGATTATTTCAGCCCTACACCTGGATTATTTCAGCTCCACACCTGGATTATTTCGGCTCCACACCTAGATTATTTCAGCTCCACACCTAGATTATTTCATCCCCACACCTGGATTATNGATTATTTCAGCTCCACACCTAGATTATTTCAGCTCCACACCTAGATTATTTCAGCCCCACACCTAGATTATTTCAGCCCCACACCTAGATTATTTCAGCTCCACACCTGAATTATTTCAGCTCCACACCTAGATTATTTCAGCTCCACACCTGGATTATTTCAGCTCCACACCTGGATTATTTCAGCTCCACACCTGGATTATTTCAGCTCCACACCTGGATACGGTTTGGTTTGTAAATCAGAGACTGAACATAATCTCGTTTATTTTCAGGTAACTACGACGGCGATGCCGGCGACTCGGCGCTGGAGTGGAGCAACGACATGGGCCAGGCCTTCGCTCAGGGCGGACTCCGCCTCCACCAGAACCAGATCCTGGTCCCACAGACGGGCCTGTACTTCGTCTACAGCCAGGCCTCGTTCCGGGTGTCCTGCAGCGAGGAGGCGGGGCACGCCCGGCGCCCCACGCCCCTCAGCCACAGGATCTGGCGCTTCTCGGACTCCATAGGAAGCAAAGTGTCCCTGATGAGCGCTGTGAGGTCAGCGTGTCAAAACGGGCCGGAGGAGGGCGGGAAACGGGGCCAGGGCTGCTACAGCTCCATCTACCTGGGGGCCGTGTTCAGCCTGAAGAAAGGGGACCGGCTGTGGACGGAGACCAGTCAGCTGTCGGACCTGGAGACCGACGAGGGGAAGACTTTCTTTGGTGTGTTTGCTCTTTGACCTCCCTGCTTCCAGGCGACAGATGATCTGAACAGGGTTTAAAAAAACTAACATTTTTAACTTTGATTCATCCTGCAGGTGACATAAAAATGTTTCTGTCTCCATGAAGACCAAACTTTATAAACTGTAACAGTTTGAAACTTTAATCCTATTTTAGGCACTTTTTAAATGTTTTATTTAAGCTGATCTGAGATTTTAGTTGAGCAAAGTCTGTCTGCTGTAGCAGATAACAGCACAATCATTTACTATTTACTTTATGTCTGTATTTATTTATATTTATTCATATTTAAAGCNCAGATGGAGTCTCCAAAACGAGGAATAAAACGTTACGCTACAGGAACGGTGAGATCCTGCAGAAATGTTTTCTGTAGGAGCAGCACTGAGAGAGGAAAAATAAAGATGTTTTGATGTAAAAACTGTAAAAAATAAAAGTGTGAAGTTTATGGGAGTAAGACAACCCGACTGTTATCTACGGGGGGAAATGCCGTTTATCCAGATTTTGTTCGCTTTGTGTTTCCGTACGACTGCTGAAGCCTGAGCTGTGCTCCTGACTGACTCACAAGTTGTCATTTATTTATCGTTTGGGTTTTTCCCAAACTGTGGGAGGAGCAGCAAAACACAAAATAAACCTTTAATCTGGCGGTACAGTAATGTTGCAGCTTGTTTCACAGCCGAGATACTAAAACGAGTTTTGCAACCACACACACACACACACACACACACACACACACACACACACACACACA